GAAAAGGAACCGATTGGAGAAGGGCGAAAAGGGACCAATACCGATTGGGGCAGCAAACTATGGTAATGCATTGTCGCTGAGCTCGAGCTAACATTGATACTCACTTGTCAGGACCTGCGGGATGATATCAACGAAGTCAAGACAGGGAATTTGCCCAAGAGCGCCTCCCGAGGCGTGTCTCGCCTTCCTGAAGATACGCTAGGTATGGGCGACAAGACAAAGAATTGACTGGCTTGCAGCAGGAGTAGGGAGCAACGCCATGGCGGCCTATGGTCGTACAACGTAACTTGCTGCCTGCAAGCTACAAATAGCTCAGCATGCATTTCTGGGGCGCGAAGTCGATCATTGGCGCGCAGTCCGCTCTGTCGAGAAACTTCATGGAAAGTGGTCACAGACTCGGTAGACGCACGTTCCTGAACCTGCCGCCACTACTGGCGATATGGCATTGGTGAGGCGCAGGGCCCGTGGACTGCTTTCAGCCGTTCCAGTTATAACGGTACGACATCCACGAGTTGATCTACAGCGGATAGCAAAGCCGTGCAGTGACAGTTGCCCAAGGGCAAACCCTCTCCAGAATCTGGGTAACCGTGGTAGTTCTCAGTGCCCAACACAGAATGTGTCAGGATAATGCATGACATTGTGGTGTACCAATGACAGGACAGCTAGGAGCAATACTATGGTTCACTGCAAGTAGTCATGTACGGTTGTTGTTGGCGCATTGTGTGTGAGCATACCATCTGTGCACAAGACCATGACCTGAGTCGCCAAGTCACCGAACAAGTACGTCGTAACTTACTTCGAGGCGCAAAGCCTAAAGGCCTCAAATAACTGAGAGAAGGAACAGCTGACAAGTCTCGCGCTGGCAGGTTTGAAATAGTTCCTCTTGCAATAATGCCTATTGGCGTATTGACTAGTATTGGCCATGCATGTGACACAGTATCTATAGGACAACACCACATCCTGAGTCACCAGCAGACTTCTGTCAGAATCATACCAACGGCCATTGTCAGCGTCAAGCTCTCGCGCAAGAGTTGTAAATGATAATGGCGCAGTCCATCGTGCAGAACGTTATTCAAGCATGCACGACCACACAACGCCTGCTGGCCCATCAGCGCGGCAGTGGCATTGTAGTGTCCACCACTGAGCGCTACTGGTCTCCCAGCAGAGTTGATCCACCACTGGTATGCGACGTCCAGTCAGTGTGAAAGGAAAACCGGCGTATCTTCGAAGTAGTTCAAACAGCTACAACTAGAGGGGAGTCGGTACAGCTCGTTTGGAAGGTGCTAATCATGCGGATATCTTGACCTCACCTCTCTCGCAGCCGATATAGTATTTTAGCGATAGATCGACCTATGTCCTTGAGTATCCTCTGGACCTGGTGGTAAGGACTAGGTAGGTGATATCATGCGCTCATCGCGTATCGGAAACTGTGCGTGCATGTATCTCTATTGCGGCGATAGCGGCCGGCTTGCCTTACCGCCAAACGCTGATATTACATAAGACTCAGATTCTGATGCAAGCACTCCACGGTCGTAGCGCGCCGACATAAGAGAAGGCTTAAGAGAAGGTGAGCAGTGACGCTGATGCTAAAGTCCACACGGTCAGGGGCGCCCGGTGCTACTCTCAGCATGGCGATACTCTCGGTCCTGTTCGGTCATACCCTCCTAGCCTGCTGTGGTTTTATAATCGAAGGCTGCAATACTTCATACATGTATATCACGCACACCTCAAGATTGACACAATCTCCCTCAAAAGACTCTATCCGAAGTCATCAGCCCGTTAAAGTACTTCCCAATTACACACCCAAAACACGTGATAATTCCGAGAATCATTCCACTGCAATGATCGCGCACTCCACACCAAGTGACTTTGCAGCATTAGATCCACCAGTGGATTAAACCAATCAAACAACCACTTCGACCTTCAAAATTCTAGCTTTCACGCTCTCTCCACCTTCCGGCGTCAGCCTATCCATACAGATAACATGAATTACTTACATGATGCATGATTGTACAAGTATGGAGTGTAGTTTAAGACTCATCTCTCATCGTTAGGTTGTGCACGTACTGTGACGTAGTCATTGGATTCCGCCGTCAAGAGACTTAGTCTAGTATGCAAGATGTATGAGGACAACATTAATGGCTTATTCACAAGAACTGAGAGATCTCTTCAAAGCCGCGCAGATTGAAACGGGCAGCGCGGTTGCTGCTTGGAAGGCGATGAATCCATTGCTTGTGACTCGCCCTCCGGAACCTCCTCTCCACAGCAGCTCTACTGCCTCTAGCTAGAGAGCTTGAGTCGTGTGCCAACGGCCGCATGCAGGTGGCCGCTTTACAGAGCAGACGTTAGTTTTGCTGAAATCTCAGGCATCGGAGCGCATGTGCATGCATGGCACACTCAGATGCGCTCCTACCGACCTAGGAATTCCTCATCACCGGCGTTGTTGCTCCTTGACCTTGCGCAGGCTCTCATTATCCCACCATGGGATATGGGTGCAAAATTCTGATGCTGCGTTGTCTGATGCGATGACGTAATACTAATGTAATGCGCATGGGATTGGGCCATGGAAGATGGTCGATGGAGGTCTACATGACTCTACTGTACAGTGGTCCCTCTATAATCCGGCACCATTTGTGCCACAAAAATCTGCTGGATTAGGGAGGGTGCTGGATTAACAAATCTGATCTACTGCTGCAATGTGCATGAAGAGGACATTATTTTGGTTACTGAAAATTGTGCCGGTTTATCGAGGGTGCTGGATTATAAAGTGCCGGATTAGAGAGGGACGACTGTACTAGTAGTAGTAAGTACATGTAGTATCCAGAGCTGCCTTATATGGTAGCGTGTATCTGCTCTTGTTGTGGTGAGATTGCGGAGGAACTGATGATGATCGCCAGGAAGCATGGCACAGTTTTATCGCCCTGCGCATGCCGATGATGTCTTTATGTCTCAGGCAGGTGCCGCCACCAACACACTAGTCGGGCAGTGGAAATGCAATACCAATGAGGTCGCGCAAGCATTAAACCAGCCGTCGCTTCGTGCGACGAGCTAGACGACGAGCACTGGATCATGGAGCCGCGGCTGTTGGGTTAGTGGTGGGTACCGCGATACGGGTTGCAGTATTTAGGGCACGTGATGTCGGCACGTGATGTCGTGAGCCAACGGCGCTGGCATGGTAATGATTATATTAGTGGTATGACCCTGTGATGCTGTATCATACTTCGTAGTGTATCATAGCACGGTCTCCAGTGCGGCAGTGGTCTCACGCACAAGAACCTGAGTCCTGACGCTAAAAACAGTACACCGCTCTATCACTACGCATACTACTACTAGTACTAGACTTGTGCGCGCGCCACCTCGCGCCGTTCTGACATGGCGTGGTTGCTTAGCACCGGATCATGTGCATGCATGGCACGCTCAGACACGGAGACTGGCCAGGATACCCGAAGCTGGCAGCGGAAGTGCTGCATGCCGGTGACACACTGACAGTGACAGGTTCACTGACCATGTGCATGCAGACTGTCGTGATCAATACTCCACTGTCAACGCACACTGCACTGCACTCACTCCACTCTGCGATGCCCATTCTGACGGCTCGTACAGAATGTCAGAAAGTGAAGGTTTTCTCGCGAAAAAAGACTACGTGCACTGCATGCATGCAGCGGCCTGGTCAGGGAAATGGCCACGTGCCAGATCCAAACGTCAGCCTAGCGGTGGTAACGGACAAGGTGTGAGGAAGGAAGGCCAGCCCAGTAGCAGCAGGACAGGCAGCCAGAACTGAGATCAGCAGTCGACAGGCACAACACAGGGCCTGAGAGACACCAGACAGATACTGAGACAGACAGCGACGCTTAGCTCTGGTTCGGCCACGCTCCCGACGTCCCTAGCTCTGGGGAGGTCCAGTCAGTCAACGCGCTGTAGCACAGGTTTTTTTCTTTCCTTTCTCTTTTTCTTTTTGAGTATGATCTGCGATACAAAATAAAATTTCAACAACAACAACAACTGGGACTGGGGCCAAGGGCAACAGTTCAACCAATTCTCTGTCTCTTGTATCCTCTCAGTAGAGATGACGTGAGGAATGGTACATTATACGACAGTGTTGAAGACAGTGTTGTAGGGTGCAAGTGAAGTTTAATTGAAGGTCACTAATTTGTTTGTGCGTTCAAGCGCTGTACAGTGCATACATGGTGTGTCACTTCGGAGAAGAGTAGACCTACTGTTTGCTTCACAACAAATGCAATACACGAACTCATCCAAACTGAACAAAAAACATGGCTCTCTCGTGTGGTGTCGCGGCTTCCTCTCCCCCTCCCCCCCTCACTCAGTATACGTCTACATGTATGTGCTGGGGTGGTGTCAGTGTGTTTTGCGAATGGCGATGTGCGATGTTGGATGGCGTTGCTAGTTGTAACCTCTTATCAGCATTGTCCTGTGTCGCCAAATGCAAGTGAACAGAAGTGCGCACAAGTGAGAATCACTTGATCCCGGAGTGGCTGACCCAGAAGAAGCGTGCTTGCGCTATGTTATGTGTTGCATGCTACACTTCCAACTGTCACAGCCAAACTGCACAGGAAGGAAAATATCCAGATGAGGGCGATGGAGCATTACCGAGCGGAAGATGCAATAGAAATAGGGAGCCAGTTCTCGCTGCAGTTCTCGTGGCAGTTCCAGCATGGCTAAAGACGCAGCTAAAGACGCAGCTAAAGACGGCTCGCCTGTGACTGACAGTCTGACCACAGTGTGATACGCTCCATCGCCAGGAGACGCGCCTCGCGGACGTGGACGTAGGGCACGCATCATGGTCAGCTGCTGCCTACATCGTAGTCTACCAGTACTGCAGTACTGCAGTATTGCTGGTCAAGAGCCTTGAAGAGGTAGTACTAGTCTAGTACTAGTAGTATGTACTAGAAGACCATGCTATACTCTGCTGGCTATCCGACCAGGCTTCTCGCCACCTGCCGACATGTTCTTGACGTGTCGAACTCTGATCTGCACAGCAGCAGCCGCGATGCACGCAGTTCCATTCTGGATGTCTGATACATGAAACTCTATTCCAGGGCTTAGCTCGTATTCTAGTCCACAACTCACAAGCGTGCCAGAATAATCTTGCATTCGCTAGCTACAAGACGTCAAGAGTTGTTGATCAAGTAGAAGTAGAACCATGTAGTGGGGATTTTGCAGCCATTGCTGGTATGATATTATCCCGATGCTCGTCCTCTTGGATCGAAGGTGAGACCCGTTTCCATTGCGTGTTAAAGATCGTTCCTGCTCGCTGTATTTCTGTAAATGGCCAGAAGTACAAGTGTGTTTCCGCGCCTCTGCTGGGGCTTGTAATGGGATTTGTACAAATCAGATGAGTTGACTATTTCCTGTGATGGTGAGGAATCTGGCTATCGCACGAGAAACCCATGTAATTGGAGGACAGGGTCGGTGGCGATCGCATTACGGTCATCTTAGTTGAATCGAGAGCACCCCTCACCTGATGGTAGCGGTCCTTATAATAATAATAATAATAATAATTAGTTGTGATGAGATAAGATCATTAGGACACACACACACACACACACACACACACACACACACGTGTGCGCAGTGCATCGTGTAGAACTCGATGTGCCATGTATACTGGCCAGTCTAGTCTCTTGTAACCGTGAGCCTTTCCATTGCGCCATGCAGGCCAGGTCTTCCCTGATTTTTGTAATCTGATAATGGCCAGCAGTCAATTAGCCATTACACGGTGATGGCTTGGGCTATAGCGGGTGTGCCACAAAACCTACACAGCCAGCGGCAGTGTATTGTAACAATTCTTTATCCTGGCAGGTAGGCTGCAACTTTGATGGATAGATTACTTCCATATTAAATGCAATTCTCTAGTCCAGGCACCCGTTGTCTGACTGTCAGACACAATAGCCTTCACTGACAGAAAACCATTCCCAAAGGCATCAGGAGCCCACTCGCTTCCTTCAGTATCCTCTATCGGCCTTCGGATGGCCCTTGGCATAGCGTTAGATTCGCACCAGACATCATCAACTTCTCCCCAGCCTAGGTCAAGAGGAAACAAGGATGGTGCAGGGGAGAAACACGAGACGTAACCTCCATTAATGTAATGGTCAGTGTGCGCTTGTGTCCGCGGATCCGCCGCATAGTCATACTCATGGTGATGCATGGGATGTGTGTGTTTCACGCTCAGCTGCTTGCCAGGATCGCGTACGTCGCGGCACTCACTAGAATGATAATAATACACGCAATTCGTGTTCCAACGTCTTGTGTTGTGGCCGCCGCCGTCGCTGCGTATGAAGCATACTTCCACACTTGTAAAACCCCGCTACCTTGAAAAGTCATTAACCGACTGTGACCTAGTACCTAGCTAGTTCGACGTTGATCTTCACGAGAGCATACCATGATGACATTCCATATTGCAGAAGTCAAGTTTATCCTGTGATGGCACTGCAAATTATTTTCTAGCACTGCTCGTCAACTCGATCTGCTCGCATACAAGACCCCCGCTCGCCGCTACGAGTACGACTATTCGCGACTCTCATCTCGATCACGCGGATGGATTTTGCCAGTTGTTTTTTTTTACTGAATACCACAGTACCATCAGATGCTGCACAGCGGGGGCGGTGGCATATTGGATGGAAGTGGGGACGGGGCAAAAGTAACTCCTCCGACCAAAGGTCTCGGAGTCATCGTTACTCCTGTGCGCCGATACATAGGAGAAAAGAAACATGTGCATCCAAGAGGGAAGCACCGGCTTTGCAAAAGATAATGGGGAGAATTTGAGATTGAGACAGGACAAAACAATAGTAAAAGCAGTGCACCGTAGGAAGATGGAGAGAACTGATAATCGCATGTTAAGGCTGAGCGAAAGGGATCAAAGAGGAGTAGAGGGGAGCTGGAGTGCGGTCAGTATAATTAGGCTGGTGTGTTGGCTGCGATGGAGAGATCATAGCCTGTCTGTGGCCCACTCCCACTTGCTGCGCCGCAAGTGGTCGTGGACAGTATAATAATACTCAATCTGCGGGCAGAACTGTTTCGTCCTTTGTGGACTCATCAGCGCAGCACAGAGAAAATGAGGCCGAACCTGATAATAATAATAATATTGTAATAAAAATTAGGAATAGGTCGCATACCGCCCGCATAAACAAAATTAATCAGATGGGGGTCATGGTATGAGTGTGGTGAAATTGTTCACAATCGTCCCAATGTGTGTTACTGTTTTGCCATTATTTTAATTTTAAAAGCGGGTGCGTGTACATGCACATGTAAGGTACTTCGAGTATTAGATAAACCTTGTTATAGCCTTCTTACCATGTTGTTGGTTTGATAGCATGAAACAAGGCGGCGGACACCGTGTTCGGAAACAGTGATCTTACTACTGTACAATCATCCACGGTTGGTAGAGCCCCCATTCCGTTGGGACTATCTGAACCATATGGGTGTTGAAGCACTATCATTTTATGACTATCAGGATGACATCCAGGAGCGAGCAAAGAATACAGGTACACAATTGACGTTAGGAGAAGTCGTGTCAAACCAACAACATGTACATGTACATGTTACACTCCAAGACGATATGCGATGGACCCAACACATCATAGAAACTACTTCGAAGTACCAACAAAGCCAAAAAACTACTACATCACCTCCACAAGACACGTTGCACAATGAACGCTTCCAGCCTATTATTAGTATTAATATACACGACCTACATCCGACCCGTTCTCTAATAATGGCAGCTTTGCCCTCTCCAACACCACAGCGGGACACACTGGAGAGACTTCAACGCCGTGCTATACGCATCTGCCTTCGGATTCCCCTCTTTGCACCAGTTCACTAGCATGGTACATCCACCACCACACCTCTCCACCACACCTGCTGCGTGCAACAACCACATCTTGCACCACAACGTCAACATCAACCATACACCCTTAGACAGACAAGGACCTACTCCATGGGACACACACAAACAGGCACCGATATTCCCCCATCAACATTGCCCTCACCCTCTACAACTCACTCCCTATCGACATCACAACCCAACCTAATAATATATTCATTCCGAAACAGTGCATCCAGTCTTCTTTTGAGAAGTACCTGTTCCTGCTCCGCGCATTCCCCTGGTTTCTGATATCTCGAACGTGCACTTTAAAACTATCTCGATCACCCCTGCTAACGTTATTGCCCCCGCTTGTTTTTCATGATCCATTGCTTCTTGCCAGCCTCCCCGGTTAATTTCCATCTAGCTGTTTCTGGCTAGTATCAGATCTATCACACTTATCACTCGTCCTTATTGGCGTCACGCCATCGTGGAATAAAAGAAAAATAATCATAAAGATAGCCATCGAGAGCAGCCAGGATGGTTGTAGTAAGGTCACTTGTTTCCGAACACGGTGTCCTCCACCTTGTTACATTCTCAGGACCTGTCCAACCAACAACATGTACTAGTACATGATTGTATGTACGGAACATCCCGTGAGGATGACTGTAGAGGGAATGACACTTTCGCAAAAACGATTCTTACAAAACGTCGTGTGGTAGAGCTGTTGTACATGTATATGATGTACATGACTTGTACTGGTGTTTAGAATGGCGTTAGTAGATCTACCATCGCAGACTTTGTTAGGAAAACAACACCTCTACAGTAGTGCTGTGCTAGCATGCTGTGCCGTGTGGCACTCATCATGGTCAAAAGTCGATGCCCATGTAACTGCTCACTAGGGAGACGTCACAAGTCGATCGTTGTGTTAGAAACCGAAATGCTAACCAGTGTCTTGAAAACGCACACTAAACGGTACAGGCCGACGTACGTGTAGTAGCAGCAGTACATGAAGGTGCTCCTTTCTCACGTCAAAGTTTTTTTCAAAACTTTCAAGACAAGAGCACGCGGATCGATCGCGTTGTACTTGTATTGTAAGTTGTAAGTAATGTAGTTGTAGGCCTTCCAAACGGGACTTTCCCTGAACATGCAGCACAAAGACTAGGGAAATCATGCGTACACAACCTGCTAAACCACGAACGAAACGGTTGTCGAAGTCAAATCAACCGCTTGAGCCGCCCATTGTACCATTGTGGCTGTCTGATCTGGTGGTGCGGACAGCAGGAACACTCACTGCACACTCACTGCACACTCACTGCACACTCACTGCACACTCACTGCACACTCACTGCACACTCACTGCACACTCACTGAACACTCACTGAACACTCACTGCACTAACACACGTAGTCTAGAACACCAAATAGGAGATCCCCCAGATAGGCCCTTAGCCTTAGGCCATTAGGGTAATCCTGAAATAAAGATGTTTTTGAAAGATTATTATTAAAACTACCTCGTGCGTTCAGAACATGTGCAGCCCGCCTTGGCTGATGCAGCGGAAGCCTTGCCACCGAGCATTGCTGCTGCTGCTGCAGCAGATACTGATGCTGCCATTGCTGGGTGAGCGGCAGGACACAGGATGACTGATTATTTCGGTGGTAACAGGTCAGGCAGTCAGGCCAATGACGATAACTGAGTACTGAGAAAAGGATGTTTGAGGCCACAGCAGCTGGTGGAAGAGGAGGAGGAGCTCGAAGCTGAGGCAGTTCGGGAGAGTGAGACTGAGGAGGTTTCGGATGCTGACACCGGTGTTGATGAGTGTGGTTGTGAGATGGAGTTAGACCCGAAGCAGTGTGCTATCTGCAGGCATTTGGTATCGCACCCTGAGTCCCTGATTGTTGTCAGTCATATTCGGGCTCTTGTTTCACTGTTTTGTGCCGTGCCAGTCATTCCCATGTGAAGCAGGTGAAAGTTTTAGAAGCTTTTTTCATTCACCTGTACCAGCCTGATTTGTGTATCCAAAAAGAAAGTGTCATCTCCCTCAAACTGTTCACGTAGCACCTTGTGGGTTTGACGTTGTCATTGTTATCCCCTGTTCGCTGCTCATGTGGTAGTTTCACGCGATTCTTCGCACTCTTTATGTACTTTTTGTTTTAATTAATTGTACCCGGTGTGATGTACGCTTACCACTATCGTGCTTTCTCGCTTTCTTGCCCCATTTAGCGCTATTTCATTCAGTTTATTTTATTTTCTCCCCTCTTTCTGTTCCATAGAAGAGTTTTTGATTAGTTTTACATCCATTGTCACGTACGTTCACTGAAGATCGTAACTGGAAAACTGTTCCGAATACTTTCCTTTCACATGTACATCTCACATGTACATCTCACATTTATCTCTCACGTGTTTGTTA